GTAGTTATCCTCTCCTCTCGTAAACAGCAGGGTGTGAGTGTGAGAGGGGCTGCGGAAGCAGATGTCAGGCGGGGGGACGTGCACAGGTCAGTCTCTGCAGCACCTCTGTAAGGTTGCGTGCAAAAGTCAGATACCCGTCAGTAGGTAGGAATGGAAGGACTTGCCCAAGGATGTTGCAAGGTAGTGTCTCTGGGCCAAGAAGAGACATCCCTGTCAGCAGGCACGGCCTGGCTGACTGTGCAATAGCTTTTGGTCTGGAAGTGTTGGTGTCAAAGCAAACAGTAGCTGCTTTCTGCTCGAACCAGTCCTTCCAGTGTCTCCTGGGGTAATGCAGCAGCAGCCTATCTCCTGGGCAATCTCATCCTCTGATGCGCTAATACTGGAGAAAGTCAAGAAACGGGAGGCACTTGAAGTTATGAAGCTGGCAGACACATTGGGCCATTTCTGACCTGGATGTCGGGGTCATGGGCATCTGATTGCTAACGCTGTCTGTCTCCCGCAGCTGACATAATGTACACTGGCACTATTGACTGCTGGCGGAAGATTGCCCGGGACGAGGGCTCCAAGGCATTTTTCAAAGGTGCATGGTCGAATGTACTCCGAGGAATGGGTGGTGCTTTCGTCTTAGTCCTGTATGACGAAATCAAGAAGTTCACATAAGTTATTTCCTGTTGTGAACTGGCATGTTATAATATGTAATCATGGACTTGTATGAAAACCGTCTAGTTACTAAACAGTGACGGCTGATATTTATACAGGTTGGCACAGAGCAGTGGCAACTGCCTGCCCTGTCTTTATCAAGTCATTCCTCCTGATGGGACCCAAACATGGTTTCTATTTCAGTCACTCCTGCTTAAAGAGTACGAAGAAATAAAAATCTTAAACCGACTTTCCTCATCTCATGTTTGTTCTCACTGCAGCGTGAGGGGGGTGGGGGTCTCTGCACAGTGATTGTAGAGGAGGAGGAAGATGAACCACCTCCATCCATCCTGCACACCTCGTTACCTGCTAACTACCTGTGCTCTCTGTCAAGTAAACACAGTGCAGGCTACTGAGGAAGCTGCAGTGTTTCCTCCCCAGTGGAGGCCATTGGTGTGGGCTGGAATGGAGACAGGCAGCTCTGAAGGACTTTCCCAGCTGGTCTCTGCTGAGAGCTCAGTAACTAGAGATGGTATCTGGTGTGCCACCAGTCCAGCCTCTGGCCTGTCTGCTCCCTGGGGCTGATGAAACCTCGTTCCTTGAAAGTGCCAAGTGCCTAAGCCTTCTGCAAAGCACAGCCTTCCCCGTGGTGCTGAATGCCTGGGAGGCTGGAGAAATGTCTGAGGGGTATTTACTGCTGTCTGGAACAGCAGAGCTGGCATCCCATACTCCGGCTTAGAAACTGAGCTACCTACCTGGACATGTTAAAACCCAACCAGAGAACATAAGTGCAGGTAATTGCTGTTCTTCTGTAGAGCCCCTGGCTAGCCTGGCCCTCGCGTGAGGTCGTACGCTGCAGGGATTTAGTAGCTGAGCAGAGACACGTGGCTCCTGTGCTGGGGCTGGGATTGCCAGGGAGGGAGCTGCATCCCCAGGCTCGTCCCTTATCCCTGGAAATTAAACTTGTCCCAGCCTCAAGTTCTGGGGGAAGGGGGAAATTCCTTCATGCTGCTGGGGCAATTTGGGGAAAACACTGCAAGACTGGGCAGTATGTGTGGCTTGGCCTTTATCCAGACATCTCTGGATCTGTGAGCCGCCCCAGTGAAGCTGCGTGGTTTCTGCTCAGGGAGCTGGGGTGGTGAGTGGATGCTCTCTGGGTCCTCTGCCCTCATCAATGAGTCCTTTCTCAGTGTTCTCACATCTTTGGTCCTTTTTGGCTGCCCAGGCCTGCTCAAAGTGGTTCATCTCAATCACTGAAACCAATCTCAACCACTGTCCGAGGCAGATAAACAAGCCCTTGTGTTGCAAAGGGCGGTAGTTGTTTTTATTGCTGAAATCTAAGTAGGGCAGCCAGGCATGAGAGTACAGCACCATCCTGTCGTAGCTGGTGTCAGCATGCTCGGGTCCCTGTAATGGGTGTGAAAGTTGGTGATGGCAGATGGTCTCATGCCATGCTGTTGAGCCAAGAGCCTTCGCTGGCACATTTCAGCTGCCCCGGGCTCCTGTGGTGTGAGATCCCTGCGATGCCTGGTGTGGAAACACAATGGGCTGAAAGTTTCCCCGTAAGACACGGAGCAATGCCACAAGCTGCATGAAGCGTGCTGGGGGAGCAGGCAGCAGCCTGGCAGGGAGCTGTGCCATGGGCAGCCCTCTCCTGCTGCACAAATGCAAGCTAATTAATTAGGGGCTCTCAGCTCTTATTGCCTCCTGCTGCTGAGCTCTCCTGGATTTCAAGGGCCGTTCTGAAAAGCTGCTGGTTGCTGTGTGGGATACCTTTTCCTCTGCAGGGGATGTGTGGCTGGGCTGTTACTGCAGGGTAAGCACATCATTTCTTCCTCCACGTGATGGTGGGTGACAGAGGTGCTGAGCCAGGCTGTCGTGCAAGGCTGCAAAGGAGCTGAGCTGTGGGACCTGTAAGTCCTTAGACCTACAGCATTTCACACTGGGCTTGGGGTGCAGGGCTGGCACTGAGTAAAATGGGTTGTAGCTGCCCGTGGTAGTTGCTGCCTTTGGGACTCAGGAAACAAGCACGTGTTTCACAGCTTTTTTTTTTAGCTCTGGTGCATAGGAGATGTGGGGCAGAGCCCACAATGGGTTTTCCCAGTGCCCCACTGCTGGGGAGCACAGGCCAGCAGCTCCCTCTGGCCTGGGACCCCCTGGGGATTTAACCTCCCCCTCCTGGCATCTCCCCCAGGAGCAGCTTTATCTGTGGAGACAGGTTGGGGGGGGCGGGGGGGGGCAATGGCCG